GTTTTGGACAAGCTCATTTCTCTTAAAGAAAAATCAGAGATCCTCTTATAATCAGAGAGTATTCCGGTTTAGATAACCGAATCTAATTTAATCATGGTTTAACATCAAACCAATCAATCTCACTCTCTAATAAACCAGCTCGATCTTTGAACTCCATCTTCGCGACTTGGAAGATCAGTGCGCCAAAGGAATGGAACATCAGCCGCGAACTTTGCTCCGGCGCCGCCATTGACGACACCGTCACCATCGACGACAACGCTTACAATCCTCTTATCAAATGCCGTTGCGATTTCCCCAACTCCACAATCTGTCGCATCACCGCCCTGTAATTTTTCTCTTTTTTTTTTTTTGAGTGCACACCATGTGTTTGACGATTTATCCCACTGAACCTCATAGCTTAATTTTGTTTACACAGCAAGGTTTATGCGATAGATGTTGTTGGACCTATACCTCCACAGCTCTGGACTTTGATATACCTCACGAATCTGTATGGATTATTATTACACAACCACTTATCTTTTTTTTCCTTCTTATCATGAACACGAAATCACATACATCTTCTTTCAGGAACCTGGCTCAGAATTATCTTACAGGCTCTCTGCCTCCTGCAATTGGAAATTTGGTTCGAATGGAATATTTATAAGCCTGTTGATTGAATCCTTCTTCCTTTTTTCTTGTCTCTCACGACACACTTAACTGTTTCTCACATTAGGACTTTTGGGATCAATGCCTTGTCTGGCCCTGTTCCCAAGGAAATTGGTTTGCTTACAGACTTGAAATTACTGTAAGCTTCTTTATTCTTTAATTATGATGATTATGTCAGATTTGTTTGATGCTTCTCTTAATATTTAGACCTATCTATATTTTCTGCAGGAGTATTAGTTCAAATAACTTTTCTGGTTCTCTACCACCTGAATTTGGGAATTGTACAAAACTACAGCAAATGTCAGTGTTTAACTGTCAAATCTACAAGTATTTATTTCCTTCTTGTAATATAGATATGAAACCTTAACCTTCGAAATTAACAAAAAAATTTCCTACATCTATTGCATCTACATTGGTAGTTCTGGACTCACCGGGGTAATACCTTTATCATTTACTAATCTTGTCGAGCTGCAAGTTGTGTAAGATATATTGAACTCGAATTTAAGCTTTATCGTTAGATATTTTAAAAATATACTCCTTTTCGAAATTAGGAGTATCTACTACTTTACATTTTCTTTTCTTTTTTTGCCTTGGGGTGATTTTTTCCTTACTGTTGTACCAGTTGGATTATGGATCTGGGAGTTACAGGTCGAATACCAGACTTTATAGGAAAATGGACCAAACTTACGACCTTGTAATGGACTTGTTCCATTGCTCTTGTTATTACATTTTCTATATTACAGTTACATTTGGGATTCAACAATTGGTACATGTTTCACTGCAGGAGAATTCTCGGAACTGGTTTGAGTGGTGCGATACCATTGTCATTTTCCAACTTAACTTCTTTGACAGAACTGTATGTGTTGCATTGGTGCAGAATCATTATTATTTACTATTTCTCTTTCTTTCCCTCTCTTCACATATTCCTATTTTACATGTAGGAGGCTTGATGATATTTCCAATGTAAGCTCTTCTCTCGAATTCATCAAAGACATGAAATCTCTAAGTGTACTGTAAGCCAACGTCTAACCCAATTCATTATCAGTAAACTGTTTCTTTCTCCTCTGTGTATTTAACATTTATGAAATATGCCGCAGAGAATTGACGAACAACAATCTTACTGGGACAATACCGTCTAATATCGGAGAATACTCAAGTCTGCAACAAGTGTAAGTCTGTTTCTTCAAATGCTTTGAAAACTGTTTCAGGGTCTTTTCTGTAAAAAGAGTGAGATGATTTGTGAAATTCACCGAGAGAGAATACAAAATGATCTTAAATTGCTGATAATATAATTTCTTCTTTTTTTTTTGCTCATTTTTCCTCATTCATTGCTAAACATGACCGGTCTAATGTGTAATTCGTGTCTGTTTTCCAGTGATTTAAGCTTTAACAAACTACATGGACCAATTCCGGCTTCGCTTTTCAATTTAAGTCGACTTACTCACTTGTAAGATGATATGTTTACGTTTTCGTTTGGGTCTTTATGTACAACTACCGGAATAGTTGTGGGAAATTTTTGATGGCTTCATATTAGGTTCCTGGGAAACAACACGTTGATGGTTCCTTGCCCACTCAAATCTCATCTTCTTTGAGCAATATGTGAGTAACAAAGTTTTTTTTTATAACGGATCATCTTTGAAAGCCATAACGGATCCCCTAATTCTTTGGAGGGTTTGTTAACAGATCCTACTGTATAGACTCATGTTTCATACACACTCTTGGTGACACAAAATACTTGCCAAGATTATCAGGAAACTAACATATTCTTTGGATCCTAATTATTGTTCTTTTATAAACTAGTCCCAAAATTTCAGATTTTGGGCTTGCAAAACTATACGATGACAAGCAAACCCACATAAGTACCCGAGTGGCAGGGACGTTGTAAGTATCCCCAAATCCTGACCTTTTTGATTGCAACACTAATATATAACACATGTCGTTGTACCGATGCAGTGGATATCTTGCGCCAGAGTATGCCATGCGTGGACACCTAACTGAGAAAACGGATGTTTATGCCTTTGGTGTAGTGGTTCTTGAGCTAGTGAGTGGAAGGAAAATCTCTGATGAGAAAAGATATCTTCTTGAATGGGTATGTCCTTGTTAGTTAAAACTTGATTGTGGAAATGATAGAAGCCGATATAACCAGTCGTGGTGTATACAGGCTTGGGATGTACACGAGAAAAGCCTTGAAGTTGAACTAATTGATGATGAGCTGAGTGAATTCAACATGGAAGAAGTGAAACGAGCGATAGACATTGCTCTGTTGTGCATTCAGACATCTCATGCCTTGAGACCACCAATGTCAAGAGTGGTGGCAATGCTTTCAGGAGATGTTGAGGTCAGTGATGTCACTTGTAAGCCAGGCTACCTACCCGACTCGACATTTGATGACTTCACAAGCTCCTCTTTCAGTGCCCTTAAAGACATAGACACTTCTGCATCCTACTCGACGAGCTTTGTGACTCCGAGAGACAGCGACGCCTTGGACTCAAGATCAAGGAAGGAAGATGACAATGCCTATAGACGGATCAATGTTTGTGTATATGACTATTTTCTTCTTTCCTTGGAAAAACATATTTCACTTTGATTCAATAATAATGTTAAGGATCTTTTATAAGCGGTTTGTTATGATGGACCTTTATGGATAATCTTTCTAGAACGTTAATGGGCCTGGCTCATTGAATTTGAAGCCCATGTTTGAAGCAGCGGCATCAACAAGTCCTATAAAACCCTGAAACCCTAGCTTTCTTTGATTTTAGTTTCATGTCTATACACTCGCACATCGACATTTAGGTTTAGGGTTTTAGCTTCTCCTCCAAAAAAAATGGCTATGCATCTTCTCTACGAATCTTCTTCTGGTTATGGTCTCTTCGAAGCTCACGGATTAGATGAGATTGGACAGAACACTGAGGCTGTCCGGAGCTCCGTCTCCGACCTCAGTCGCTTTGGTCGTGTTGTTAAGCTCACAGCTTTTATTCCCTTCGCATCTGCTCTCGATGCCCTTAACCAAGTTAACGCTGTCTCTGAAGGTAAACTCTTCACTAGCCGCCGCTTCTTCGTCCTTGTCTTGTTTGTTATATTCTTGTGTTTCTGGGAACTCGAACATCACTTCTCCTTGCTGTTCTGTGTATATCTTGTCTTACTCTGCTTTTTTTTTTCTTAGATTTAGAGTAGTTTCTCGTTGCTTCGTCATTTGCTATTGCTTTTCAAACCACCGTCCTTGTTTTAGGTTCAGTTCTGATTTGAAATTATGTCAATGATCTTTGGTAGGTGTTATGACTGACGAGCTTAGAAGTTTTCTGGAGTTGAACCTTCCTAAAGTCAAGGAAGGGAAGAAGCCTAAGTTCAGCTTAGGATTGGCTGAGCCTAAGCTCGGTTCGCATATATTTGAAGCTACTAAAATCCCCTGCCAGAGCAATGAGTTCGTGCTTGAGCTTCTCCGAGGTGTTCGCCAGCATTTTGATAGGTTCATCAAGGACCTGAAGGTTGTGCTCTCTTTCTTTAGCTTAATTAGTTTGGTCTTCTTGCTTAGTCCATGGGCTTTTTTTCCTAACATTTTGTTGTTCAATGTGTAGACTGGTGATTTGGAAAAGTCTCAACTTGGATTAGCTCACAGCTACAGCAGAGCAAAGGTCAAGTTCAATGTTAACCGAGTGGATAACATGGTTATTCAAGCTATTTTCCTCCTTGACACATTTGACAAGGATATCAATACCTTTGCCATGAGAGTCAGGTTTTATTTGTGGTTTTTTTCCTTTCAGATTGTGTGTTGCCGATTGTAGCCTGAGAAAAATCCGTAGCTGAACTGTTTATAATGTTTATACAGGGAATGGTATTCGTGGCACTTCCCCGAGCTAGTGAAGATAGTTAATGACAACTATCTTTATGCCCGTGTCGCAAAGATGATTGATGACAAGTCAAAGTTGACTGAAGATCACATCCCAATGCTTACTGACGTCTTAGGGGATGAGGATAAGGCAAAGGAGGTCGTCGAAGCTGGAAAAGCATCCATGGGTAAATTTCTTGTGCTGTGATTATTTGTAGCTACGAATTGATGGTTGTTTCTAATCTTTCTCTCTTCATTCTGAGTCATTTATTTTCGTCGCTTGTTACAGGCCAGGAATTAGATCCGATTGACTTGTTCAACGTACAGACCTTTGCTCAGAAAGTTATGGACCTTGCTGACTACAGAAAGAGGCTCTATGATTATCTTGTTTCTAAGATGGGCGACATTGCCCCTAATTTGGCGGCTTTGATTGGAGATATGGTCGGTGCTCGTTTGATTTCACATGCTGGAAGTCTTACTAACCTTGCTAAATGCCCATCTTCCACCCTCCAGATTCTTGGAGCTGAGAAGGCGCTTTTCAGGTGAAAATATCATATAGCTGTCTTTTCTCATGTTTGACAAGTTTCTGTTGATTTGGTGTGTGACATGAACCCCTGTGGCGTTGCAGGGCACTTAAAACTCGCGGAAATACACCCAAGTATGGTTTGATTTTCCATTCGTCGTTCATTGGCCGAGCGTCTGCTAAGAACAAGGGACGTGTTGCTCGCTATCTTGCAAACAAGTGCTCTATAGCATCCAGGATTGATTGTTTTGCTGGTAAAAATTCTGTAAACACCCTGGAGAAGATGAGACATGTTGTATAGTGTTATATGAGACATGTTGTGTAGTGTTAAATTCTCTGCCCTGATATCCTATGCAGATGGTGCAACAACTGCTTTTGGCGAGAAGCTTCGTGAACAAGTCGAGGAAAGGCTAGACTTTTACGATAAAGGTGTTGCCCCACGTAAGAATGTGGATGTAATGAAGGAGGTGATAGAGAGTCTGCAAAACAAAGGTATTTTGTTTCCTTTTCTAATGCAAAGAAAGTCCTCTTTGGTGTAGTGTTTGATCTGTGCCTCCTTTAGATGAGGCAATGGATGTTGAAAACGGTGAGGCAAAGTCTG